GCTCTGGAGCCAAGGAGGTGGCTCCAGAAGACAGTGGGGTGCCCTAATCTGACCATGCCACCCAAGGTGCCATCAGACCCACAGGCTGCAGTGGAGCTCCTCACACGAGCCCCACACCCCCACCCCGAATTCCTCACCAGAGCCGTTCAGAATTAAGTGGTCTTAGATGTCCTTGTCCCCTCTCCTGCCTGCCATGCGCTGCCTGGCCCAGAGGGCTTCAGCTGCCCCTCCAGCCGGGAGGACGCCATCAACGCTGTCTGCAGAGCTCTTCCAGGACTTCCCGCACTGCTCCCCACTGGGCTCCTGACGATCCTGCTCGTTGGGGGACACAGATGGCCTCATCTCCCAGCTGAGGGGAGCTGAGCTTCCCGTCTGGCTAGCAGTGGGGCTCCTCTGGCCAGATGCCTCAGAGGTAGGGGAGGAAGTGAGGCCCCTCAGAGACCCAGGTGGCCTCTGGGCCCAGCTCCCACCTGCACCAGGAACCTGCCCTCCACACCTGGACGCTGAGGGTAGGTGTCAAACCCACACCTGTGTGTCACCACAGAGGGACTTTGGGTAGGTGACTGGTATGTCACCAGCCTTACTGTGCCCCCCGGTGACCAGCAATCTTGCCTCGAGGAACGTGTCCTGGAGAGCACTCACATGAGACCCACGGGGCTGGCCAACACGGGGATCAGGACATTGGGTTTGCGGCTGGCCTGTCTCCATGTGCTGTTATTTCTGTGTGGACGTGGCCCTGCCTGACCCTGCCCTGCCTCCCACCTTGACTCAGGGCAGTTTCAGGGAGAGACAACCACTGGCCTGTGAGCATGGTGGCCCCCTCCATGTGTCACTGCCCAGGGAGCTGGGCACTCTCTCCTCTTAGCAGGAGGGGCAGCCCCTGTGCTGGTCCGTGGAGATGGGGGCGGGTTTCTTGGGGTCTGGGGCAAGGGCTGGGTTGCACAAGGTTCCGATTCTCCCCAGGGAGCCCTGCCTCGCTGATTGCTCAAGGCCACCCGCTAGAGAAGTCGCAGCCCGGTCACTCTGGGGTGCTGAGGAAATCAGAGTTTGTGCAAACCCAGCAGGGGATGTGGCTGAGCCAGGGTGCTGCTCTAGAACCGCGGTTCCGGTTCCTCCCGGGGCCGGACAGCGGCTGGGAAAGGGCTGCTGGGAGGGGGTTGTGGGCAGGCAGGAGCCTTTCCTCAGACTCGGACCCCCAGCCCCTCTGGCCCCTGCCCCTCAGGCCCCGGTCCCCTCTGGCCCCTGCCCCCTCTGGCCTCTGCCCCTCTGGCCCCTGCCCCTCTGGCCCTGGTCTCCTCTGGCCCCTGACCCCTCTGGCCCTGATCTCCTCTGGCCCCTGCCCCCTCTGGCCCCTGGCCCCCTCTAGCCCCTGCCCCTCAGGCCCCAGTCTCCTCTGGCCCCTGGCCCTCCTGCCCCTGCCCCCTCTGGCCCCTGCCCCTTGGGCCCCTGCCCCCTCTGGCTGTCCCCATTCAAGCAGTGCACTTATGTCCCTCCCCACACCCTGAGCACTGTGCAGGCCCCCTCATGGCCAGCAAGGCCTCTCATGGCCTCTTTTCCCTGAGCAGCTGCCCTGCAGCGCTCTACCCTCAGGCCTGGTGCGGGCTCTTCCCTGGGCCAGGAGTCCTCCTTCTCAGGATGACCCTCCCTCCCCCAACTCAGAGGCCAGAGGGCCACCTCACACCCGGACAGTCACCTCGAGAGCATGTCCACAGCACCCAGAGCCTGAAGCTCTGTTAGGTTTTTCCTTTTAACAGTACCTTCCCCAGTATGCACACTCACACACACTCACACACACACTCACTTACACACACTTATATACACACATACACACACTCATAGACACACACACATACACACACTCATAGACACACACACTCACATATACTCACACTCTCACACACACATACTCACATACACACACACTTATATACACACATACACACACTCATACACACACTCACTTACACACACTTATATACACACACACTCACATATATACACACATACTTATACACACACATACTCACATACACACACATACACACATACTCACACACAAACACACTCACACACACATACTCATACACACTTATATACACACATACACACACACTCACACACAACACACACACACATACTCATACACACTTATAAACTCACACACTCACTTATATACACATATATACACACATACTCTCATACACACACACTCAGTTATACACACATATTCTCTCTCTCTCTCTCTCTCTCTCTCTCTCTCTCACACACACACACACACACACACACACACGACCTGACGAGGAGTCACCTGGGCTCTATTCCTAGCTCCTCACATGGTAGTGGCTCATCACAGGTGTGCATAAAGGGCCGTGGACGAGGGCTGGTTGTAGACTCCTGAGGCCTTTGAAGTGACGGTGGCACGTCAGCCTCATGTCAGCCTCACGTCAGCCTCACTTCTGCACAGGAGATCCACAGTGCGTCAGGAGGACCACGTCCACTGTCTGCAGGCTTAAGAGTCCCCTGTGACTGGAAACCCAGTTTCTCGGGGTCTGGGGACCAGAAGGAGCTCTCGAGTCCCCCTGTACGTAGAAGAAGGCAAACTGGTGGGACTGGGACCCACAGACGAGGCTATTTTTTGGCTGGCATGTTTGGAATAAATCGAGTCACCGCTGTTGGAGAATCGGAAGCTTCATGTGGTGGGTTTCAGCTCTCCTTAGGAAACTCCAAAGGCTCTGAACCACTGGGCCTGCATGTCTGCAGGTAGCTCCCAGCTGGCTCTGGTCATCCCTGCTGGGCCACTTCTGTGCCCTCCAGCCATCCCGACGGGTCCGTTAGGTCAGCATGTGAGAGTGCCAGTCATCTCGTCCTCCCTGGCTCCGGCATAGGGCTGGCCTTCTGTTCCTTGAGAGGAGAGACCCCCGCTGAGGGTCCCGGTCAGGGTGGGCTGCAGAGCAAGCTGCCCCACAAAGAGCCTCTGGCCCCTGGGCTTCCTCTCACTGTGTGCCTCCTGTACTTTTGTCAGCTGCTTCCTGAGCCAGTGGAGGAGGCACCGGGCAGCTTGGGTGTCTGGGGAGGACCGACTCGAGGACTCCGCAGGCTTGGAAGTGGCTCCGTAGCTGTTTGCGCTGCCACCTCCCTGGCCGCTTAGCAGGGCTCCCTTTCTCTCAGAGTCTTTGCTGCCTGCTGATGGGGTGAGAATGAGCAGAAGAGGGCGCTTGCCCGGTGCCCGTGCGGTCCTGCTCGCCCAGGGTGTGCGTCAGTGTCACTGTAGTGAAACGAAGCGCCTATCACTTCAGCATCCCTCGCTGAGCAGGGCTGGCGTCCAGTGGGCATTGAACAAGTGCCAACTGCAGGGTCCCTTGCTCACTTAACTTGAAGCAAACGTCTTCCTGCCTGTGTCATACCTGGCTGTACTATTGCATTGAATTGTTAGAATTTACTCCGCATTTTGCTTTATACATTTCATTTCATTTCCATTTACTGTTCTTTGGATAGAGAACACAGTCCACACAAGGACCCCAGACATCTGACCCAGCCTTGCTGTTTCAGAGGCGGAGACCGCGGCTCAGAGCAGCCTCCTGGCCTGGGGAGAGGGGCCGGGCACAGCCTAGTCCCACATCCCACGCTCTGAGGTTTAACTGCTGCCTGCTGAGCTTACAGAGCCCTGTCCCTGTCCTGGCCTACAAAGCTCTCTTGAACTGAGCTCTGCAGCTCTCTCTTTTTGGACAGAGACGGGCTCGGTGGGGCTCCACTGGCATGTGTCATTGCCACTGTGGTGGCCAGAGCCAGCCATTCTGTCTTTTTGACTCAGGGTACTTAAAAACCCCATGGGCAGGGAGCGTGGAGGGATCCAGTATGAGTGCACGAGTATTGAGCTCCTAGGAGGCAGGAGGGGCCTCGTGATAGGCAGCTGCCCTCAGCAATATGCTGACCCAGTGCCCGTGGAAGCCTGTCCTGGGGGTGTGGCCTGCCAGGGATGCGGAGAGGCTGCAGAGGTGCTGTCCCCAGGAGGGCTGCCTCTCCTCGCCGTCTGCCCTCAGCCCGGGCACTCCTGGATGAGCAGTGGGGGACCTGGCTGGGAGTCTAGCCCTGGAGCCACCCCGTGTGACCCGAGCCACCTGCTCCCTGCCCCCATGAGCTTGTTCATTCCTTCAGCAAACTACCACGAGCACCTCTTTGGTCAGGGTCCACCCTGGGAAGAAGTAGAAATGAGTCGAAATGAAATGCAGGCGAGCTGTGGGGCAGAGAGGAGTCCGCAGTTAATTTTGAACAGTGGAGGGAAGCTTCTCAGAAGCCGAACCTCGTGGTCTGTGTGGAATCCTGGAGTGGCCTTGGGGAGTGGCAGGGGGTGCAGAACCCAGGGACCAGAGGAGTCGTCCGTTTCTAGCAGCCGCAGCCCAGGGAGAGGAGCTGGACAGAGCAGGCGAGCTCAGGAACCATCGGAGGGCCTGAGGGCGTGCGGAGGGAGGGATGAGGAGGAGCCTGGGGAGTCTGGGGCTTGGCCAGGTGCCTGCCCAGCACGAGGCTGTTCCCTGGTGACCCACTCCAGCTCAGGTGGGTGCTTCCATGGCCGGCCGTGGCCTTGGTCTGCTGTGCGGGGGTGGGAAGGGGCAGAAGGTGCTTTCCTTGAAAGCCCAGAGGAGCTTTTGCGCGGCCGGAGGAGCCCTGATTGCTGGTGTTTATTTGCGGGGTGTTACCGAGTGCCCACCGCCTGCCTGTCGTGCGGCGGCTGTTTAACAGTGCCAAGGACCGTGGCTGCAGGGGCCTCGCGGTTCTGCAAACGAGACACCTGTCCTAACTTGCGAACGTGGGCCTTGTGGTGACCGAATCTCCCGGGCGGCTGCCTGTGCTGAGTCTGTTTCCATCTGTTTCCCCCGCAGATGCCCTAAGGCCACTGAGCTGCTCAGAGGGCTGCCGTGGTGGCCCGCAGCTCCCAGGCCACCTGCATGTACGTGGCAGGCTCCTGCTGACACACCTGGAAAGCCACCTTGGGTTCCTCAACAACCCGCCCAGGCCATGGAGGCCCCCGAGGTCCCCGTGGGCTCCCTGGTTGACTTTGGGACGGAGCCGCCCACCGCCCCTCCCCTGGAGGCAGCGCCCTCAACACTGCAGGACGGGGATGGCTCCCTGGGGGACGCTGCCTCAGAGAGCGAGACCACCGAGTCCGCGGACAGCGAGAACGACATGGGCGAGTCGCCCTCACACCCGTCCTGGGACCAGGACCGCCGCTCCTCCTCCAACGAGTCCTTCTCCTCCGGCCAGAGCGCCGAGTCGGCCCAGGACGAGGACGCCCTGGCACTGCGGGAGTTCATGCGTGGCTACGTGGAGAAGGTCTTCTCAGGAGGGTAGGCCGCGACGGTCAGCCTGGCTCTGCCACCAGGCTCGGGGACGTGCCTTCTGCTCTAGGCTCGGCCTCCTCCCAGGGACCTCGTGGGGCTGGTGCAGCGGCTCTCAGTCCCCCGGGGCTGCGGTCAGGTCATGAGGGAGCCTCTCAGGGACACCCAAGCCCAGGCCCCACCCTGAAATAGTCCCACCAGCTGCCAAGGCCAGCCCACCACGTGCAGGGCCCTGGGAGATGCCGGAGGGCCCAAGGGCAGCCATTCCGGCCTCATCCAGCTCCGTCCCCTCCCTGTCCAGCCCCTGGCCCCTGCTCATCCAGTCCTGTCAGCACCGGGCAGAGCTGTAGTGGACCGTCCATCCTCACTTCCCCTTAGTGTCCTCACTCACCTCCCACCTTGTGAACGCCTCCGTGGGCATTCCAGGCAGGACAGGACTGTCCGTGCTACCTTCAGTGGCCTCTTATTGTGTGGGCAGCACCCCGTGGCCGGTCAGATGGCGGGAAACTGCACGGGTCCTCTGTAATCCCGATGTGCTCTGCCAATTGCTGGTCCTCTTGTTCCAGAGTTTTCTCTGTGCTTCCCAAGTCAGGTTTGGGGAGGGGCTGCTCTGTGGGGTCACCACTTCCCGTTCTGCCAGCCCTGCCTCTCCGCTGAGTCCACGGGGAGTCGTGGAGCCTGGTGCTGAGTGGTTTCAAGGCCCTTCCTGTTGATGGTCTCATCGGGGCCGTGGTTGGCAGGCGGCTGCGTTGCTTGCTGGGATCGCACGGGGAGGCACGGGTGGCAAGTGTCCAATACCGCGTCTTGTTCTGCCTCCTGGGGAGCGCAGGGGGTGGCTGACTCCTGAGCAGCTGCTCTGCAGGGTCCCTCTGGGCGCCTCTGTTGGAGGAGCGAGCTGAGGGCGCGGCAGCAGGAGCGCCAGGCTCTGGAGGGCCTCCAGCTGTGCCCTCTCGTGGCGCTTCGGGCCGCAGCCAGGCAGGGAGCCCCCGTCCTGCCGGTTCCGGGCGGTGGAGGTTGATTTTCAGCATCCAGAGCAGCACCCCTAACCCTGCTGGGTGTGGGCCTGTGGGCCAGCTGCCCCGCAGCGCCTGGGCTGGCACAGGTGCCGTCTGGACCCCAGCCCCTCTGAGCGAGAGCTCCCTTCCAACAAGGTCTGGGGACGACTCGCCCACACACGGGAGTGTGAGAGTGCCCGCTTGAGGGACCCCTGTCCAGGCTCAGCAGCAGCAATGAGAACCATGGCTTGGTGACACTCCGAGAGCCAGGTCTGCTACCATGCTACCAGGCTCCAGCCTCCCGTCTGAGCGGCAGGGAGGACTCAGATGACCCTTCACATGTAGGCCAGCCTCAGCGTCCTCTGTGCTTTGAGAAGGAAAGAGTCATGCGATGATCCAACGTCTAACTATCTAGAGATGCGTCTGTGTTCCTGGGAGCACCGTGCTGTGGCTCCCCACTTAATTTGTCTGACAACACTGAAACCAGCCTCCTCTGCACACACCTAGAAAAGGGAGCCAGCCCCGAGGTCCACTTGCCAGGGAGGCCAGTCTATGTCGGCAGCAGCTCCTCAGCACGTGAACCCAGTCCCACAGCCGGTCACGTGCGTCTTCAAGAGCATTCCCCAGGTCACTGCAGATAGCTGGTGAATTCCCGTTTTATCTGGTAATTGGGGGTCAACGAGACCAAGATATTTTCTTACAAACCCCTAAATAAACGCACGTCACATGACCCATCCACCTCCTGCCTTCATCTTCATTTTTGGGTCTTTAAATCTGAGGAAGAGTATTGGCTGCTCCCCAAAAGAACCAAGAGCTCTCAGGGTCCTGTCCTCACGGGGGCTCAGAGGGCAGGGGACAGAAGGCGCTGTGGAACCAGGAGACCTGGTGGACTCTGAATCTCGGCCCGCAGGCCGGGTGGATTCTCAGCCAGGCCTCCCCAGGGGTGCGGGAGGGGAGGCCCCAGGTGGGAGGCCGGCCCACGGCTCCCGGCTCTTCCTGCCCGAGCACTGACGTTGCTTCACTCTGCCTTCTCTTCAGGGAAGACTTGGATCAGGAGGAGAAGGCCAAGTTCGGGGAGTACTGCAGCAGCCAGGATGGGAAAGGCCGCGAGTGGTTTGCTCGATACGTGAGCGCCCAGGTGAGCTGGGGACTCGGGGACCCGCCCAGGGAAGGGCAGGGCACACTGGGCTGCACTCTGGGGAAGAGGGGAGGGAATCGCCCCACGCAACATGGACCGGGGTGTCATGAGAAGGGCCATGTGGGGCAGTGGGAATGGCCAGGGCGCGTGTGACGCCCGCCCTGGGGGAGAGGGAGAAACTCACGCCCGTGAGGTTGAGAGCGTTCTTGTAAAGCCGAGCACGAGGGCTCTGGGCATGAGTATCTTTTATTGAATAACCCACAGTGCTCAGTTTTGCCAAAGAGAATCTAGCCAAGATAAAGGTATTAACAAAGCTCAGAAAAGAACCAAATTTATTAAGTCTCCAATAGGTTGATTTTTCATTTCTTCTAAGTATTTTTTAATCACAAATAAGGCATTCTTCATTAAAAAAAAAAAAAAAATCAGGAAATGCAAAAGAACCTAATTACCCACAAATCCAGACCCAGCCAGTGCTGCCATCTGGGGCTTGTCCCTCGGTGTTTCCCACCTGGGTGTGAGCGTGGGGAGTTGCTTTCAACCCCTGGGCAGAGGCAGGCAGGCCCTCTGCACCCTGAGGCCCAGGCTCTGTGGGCCACACCCTGCAGGGTCCTGGCAGCGGGAGGGCGGCTGCGATTAGAGACAGTGTGGCAGGACTGCCCGGGTGGCCAGCCCCTGACTGCCTGCCCTCTCCGCACAGCGCTGCAACTCCAAGTGCGTGTCGGAGCCGACCTTCTACCGGCTGGTGCAGTCCTTCGCGGTGGTGCTGTTCGAGTAAGTGGCCGCCCCCGGTGAGGGGCCAGTGTGAGTCATGGCCGTGCTGGGCACGAGCTGGCAGCTCTTCTGCTGTTCCCCGCGTCAGCCAGGAGTCACGGCCAGGTCTCCCGGCAGCAGAGCTGGTCAGCAACTAGAGGGCTACCCAGCGGGGCACGAGCGGGCCCTCCCTGTGCCCTCCCCTCCCCCGTGCCCTGGAGGTCCCCACGTCCCACCGTGAAGCATTTCCAATAGTCACCTCACGGGCCAGGCGCCCTGCTGGATGGTGGGGGGCCTCCTGCTGCCTGTGAGCCGGAGAGGTGCGGCTGGAGCTGCATCCGCAGAAGGCCGGGGACATGACGGGTGCCGAGGCAGGGCTGCCACACCACGTGCCACCCGGGCTCCTTCCCACGCCATGGCAAGATGGCCAGACCCACTTTGTGCTTTTGGCCTTGAATCAGAGCAAGCGAAGTTCAAGAGGGAGGGACACTTCTCTGCTCCACTGGCCCCGACCTCCTGGGCAGCTGGAGAGGAGGGGCTTGGAGGGCAAGGGCGAGGGGACCCTTTGGGGCCTGTCAGCACCCTGCCCATCACCTCTAGGACGCCTTGAGGCTGGGGCCCCGTGTGCCCTCCAGGTCCTGGCTTCTCCCTCCACCCCTGCCCCACATCACCAAGCCCATTGGCCCTTCTGGGCCCCAAGGGCTGCCCTCCTTTGCTCCTGCTCCCCTTTCCGCAGAGGGCGGCTGCTCGGGCCTTCCTCCCCCGCCCCTCTCCTGGGCCCTCCCCTGCTGCACTTGCCCAGCCTCTCCAGGCCTCATGGGGGCTGGGGCTGGGGCTGGGAGGGGAGGGTTGAGAGGCCTCGTGGAGGGCGTCAGGGAAATGCACCGCAGCAGCACAGGCCAGCAGCAGGGCGTCAGGGAAATGCACCGCAGCAGCACAGGCCAGCAGGGTGTGCAGCAGGCGCCGCGGGGTCTCCGGGGCAACGTGTCTCCACGCGCGGCCGTCTGCAGGTGCAGGTGGCGTCAGGGACCCTGGGCTGGCAGACTCCACTGGTCTACGTGGCCCTGTGGTCTGTTGAGTTTTAGTTTATGAGCATCTTCAACACCCACTCTGTCCTCTGCTCACCGTCTTTTTTTTTAAATATTCACTTTTTAGGGTTTTTTTTTAGGTGGACACGATGACTTTATTTTTATGTGGTGCTGAGAATCGAACCCAGGGCCTCATGTCTGCTAGGCAAGCCCTCTGCCACTTGAGCCACATCCCCAGCCCTGCTCACCGTCTTTTATAGTTTTATTAATCGTTCTTTAAATTGATTAATTTGTTCAAATATTTTTTAAAAGAACAGAAATGACCCTCAGTCCTACCCCCCAGGTAGCTTCTGTTGACCTGCTGTCATCCTCTCTTTTTTTCCAAAGTGGGAACAGAACCCAGGGCTGCCTCCCCACTAAGCTACATCCCCATCCCCAGCTCTTTTTATTTTCTATTTTGAGACAGGATCTAAGTAAGTTGCTGAGGCTGGCCTCAAACCTGTGGTCCTCCTGCCTCAGCCTCCCAAGTGCCTGGAGTCGCAGGCCTGCACCTGCATCACCCAGCTTGGCCTTTTGCCTTTCTTTCTGGTGCTGGGACTGAACCCAGGGCCTGGTGCATGTGAAGCAAGCCCTGTACCAACTGAGCCGTATCCCAGCCCTGGGCTTGGTTTAAAGGTGATAATCGTGCAAAGTTAAAGACCACAGAGGGCTGGGCGCAGTGGTACAGGCCTGAAATCCCAGGTCCTCCACAGGCTGAGGCAGGAGGGTCACAAATGTGAGGGCAGCCTCGGCCACTTAGCAAGGCCATGTCCTAAAATAAAAAGTAAAAAGGAGACATTTGGCATTTGTTTTTTAGGGATTGGCTAGCTTCACTTAGCATAATCTGCTCTAATGCCATCCATTTCCCTGTAAATTCTATGATTTTGTCATTTTTTAATGCAGAGTAATACTCCATTGTGTATAAATGCCACATTTTTTTTTTTTTCCATTCATCCATTGAAGGGCATCTAGGTTGGTTCCACAGTCTAGCTATTGTGAATTGTGCTGCTATGAACATCGATGTAGCAGTGTCCCTGTAGCATGCTCTTTTTAGGTCTTTAGGGAATAGACCGAGAAGGGGAATAGCTGGGTCAAATGGTGGCTCCATTCCCAGCTTTCCAAGAAATCTCCATACTGCTTTCCAAATTGGCTGCACCAATTTGCAGTCCCACCAGCAATGTACAAGTGTACCCTTTTCCCCACATCCTCGCCAGCACTTGTTGTTGTTTGACTTTATAATGGCTGCCAATCTAAGAACAGAGTAGGGTCGAAGAGCATGAGAAGAAGATTAACATTAAACAGGGATGAGAGGTGGGAGGGAAAGGGAGAGAGAAGGGAAAATGCAGGGAAATGGAAGGAGACCCTCAGAGGTATACAAAAGTACATACAAGAGGAAGTGAGGGGAAGGGGAAAAATAATACAAGGGGGACAAACGAATGTCAGTAAAGGGGGCAGAGAGAGAAGAGGGGAGGGGAGGGGAGGGGAGAGGAGGGGAGGGGGGATAGTAGAGGATAGGAAAGACAGCAGAATACAACAGACACTAGTATGGCAATATGTAAATCAATGGATGTGTAACTGATGTGATTCTGCAATCTGTATATGGGGTAAAAATGGGAGCTCATAACCCACTTGAATCAAATTGTGAAATATGATATATCAAGAACTATGCAATGTTTTGAACAGCCAACAATAAAAACAATAAAAAAAAAAAAAAAAAGTAAAAAGGGCTGGGGCTGGGGCTCGCGGAGTACCTCTAGGTTCAATCCCCAGAACCCTAACAAATAAACAAACAAACAAACCAAAAAACCCCAGCCAACAGGAAGGAAAGGCCTGGCGGGGGACAGAAGGGAACTGAGAGGCCCAGGGGCAAGGCCGCCCCCTGGTGGCTGCTGTCTTGGCTTCTCCCCTGGGAACGTGGGGAGCAGGCACAGTGGGTGGATGCCCTTCCTCCCAGGCGTTGCTGTCACACACAGCTGTGTCCGCAGCGGCACTGACATCCGTGTGGCAGTTGTGCAGGAGTGTGCGTGGCCGCAGCCGGCACCCTGCGAATGGCTGTTTACGTTGCTCCTGGTCCCCTCGTCCCCAGCATGGTGGCAGCAACATTAAGCCTCCGCAGCCATGACAGAGTCGCTGCTGCGGCCGAGAGGCTCGCTCCGCACCCCTTCTCCCGATTGCTGGATGGCATGGCTCTGCGCAGTTCAGGCGGACGTGCGCCAGCCAGTCTCCATGTGCAGTAGGAACGACCCTCTGCGTTTGCGGAACATTGATCCTATTCAAGTTTCTTTTCCATAAAGATTAAATTTGCTTTATAGCAAGGGACAGGAGGAGTAGCTATCCACACACCCCAGTGTCCCCGGCCAGGGGCTTCAGCAAGGAACTCTGTCTCGGGCCCCACCCAGGCCCATGGAGTCAGGCCTGGGGGCCAGCAGCCCGCTCTCAAGCGCCCTCCAGGGATCCTGTGCTCCTGGCATCTGAGCCTCCGATGTGGGGACATCCCGTGACTGCTGACTCCTGAGCCGCGGAGGCTGGTTTGGACTGAAGCTGGAGGCTGCCCTTGGTCCCTTTTCTGCTCCTGTGTGCTGAGCTCAGTGGACCCTGACTTTCCTGTTTAAAGTGACGCAGGCCAGGCTGAGGTCCAGAAACGCCTCCGGGTCCAGGGTCAGGCCCGGGCTCAGGCTGTGTGCCTGTAGGAAACTCCTAATTGGACCCGAGGGGTTATTTTTGTCACCTGTCTGGTGGCAGTGCCTAGGGAGTGAGGTGCTAATGTGCGCGTTGCGGAGTGTCTGGGCTGGTCAGTGAACTTGCGGTGAGGCCAGGGGGAACGCTCCTCTCGCCGCCGACCCTGCCTCTCATTTCAGGTGTCATCAGATGGATGACTTCGGACCTGCCAAGAACCTCATGACCATGTGCTTCACCTACTACCACCTGGGTGAGACGGGGGCTCGGCCTGGGCAGAGTGCCAACCTGGAAAGCTGAGACCTGTCAACTGCCCATGCGGTCGCTCAGAAAGGAAAGCCCGGGCCTCCAGGAGCCGGCAGGGGACTCCTGAGAGGGGGGTGGCCGCACTGTGGTCGGGCTGGCTGTCCCCGGAGCGCGGCAGGAATCCCACAGTGGAGCAGGAACACTGGGCCTGAGGGTCTCAGCTTTATGTTTCAGCAAATTATGACGCAGCATGGGCTGTCGGGAGGGGAGCAGCCGGGGCCCGGGGCTGGAGGAGTTGGGGGTGCTGAGCTGTGAGGGCTCTTCTGGCCCATTGCATTGCAAGTTTCTGCATGGTGGAGCTTGGGGGCCCCCGCTGAGCTGCGTGGGCTGCGACAGGCTGCTCTGCCCTGTGAGTGTGGTGCTGGGACCCGCTGGGGAGGGTGGGGCAGGCTGAGCACGGCCTCCCTCCCTCCAAACCAAGAGCCGCCTCCTGCAGCACAGGGCCTTCCCTTGGGCAGGCTCCTGGTCCTCCTGCCCCCACAGACCACTCTCTCCATGCCCCATGGTCAGTTGACAGGACACCACCGGGCAGGCCCCAGACGCCAGGCCTTTGGCCCAGGTGGAAGGTCCTCCATCTCAAAGCCCAGGCTCAGGGCTCCTTCAACTAGTGGAGGACCCAGCCCTGACCTGGGAGGGTGCCTCGGCCTGAGGGTCACTTTGGCCTGGACGGTGCCGGGCCTGCAGCCTGCTGCTGCCCTAAGCAGGGTGCTGTGCGTGGCCTTGGTGCACACTCCTCCAGCCTTCTCTTCCATCCCTGTTCACCGTCACACGCCTGGCCAGGTGCCCTGGAGTCCGCTCTGACCCTCCACTGTCCTCAGGGCCCAGAGAGGACCTCTCTTTCCTCTCTCTCACCTCACACTTTGCCCACTGCCACAGTCAGGGTTCCTGCCATGCACCCGAGCCCCCTGTGTGAGTCTCTCCCTCCTTCCGGTCTCCTCCTGCTCCTCCTCCTCTTCCTCCTCCTCCTCCTCCTCCTGCTCCTCCTCCCCTTCCTCCTGCTCCCCCTCCTCCTCCTGTCCCCCTCCTCTTGCACCCCCCTCCTCCTGCTCCTCTTCCCCTTCCTCCTGCTGCTCCTCCTCCTCCTGTTCCCCCTTCCCTACTGCTCCTCCTGCTCCTCTTCCTCCTCCTCCTTCTCCTCCTTCTGCTCCTCCTCCTCTCTTGCTCCCCCTCCTCCTCCTGCCTCCCCTGCTCCTCCTCCTTCTTCTACCACCAGGACTTGAACCCAGGGGCACTTTACACTGAGCTACCCCCCAGCCTTTGTCATTTTTATTTTGAGACAGGGTCTGGTAGTTGCTTAGGGCCTCACTAAGTCGCTGAGGCTGGTCTTGAACTTGTGATCCTCCTGCCTCAGCCTCTGGGGTTACAGGCGTGGCCACCCTGCGCAGCTTTCTGGTTCTATGGGGATGGCTCCTGCTGTCTCCTTCCTCTCTCCTAGTTCTTGGCCGACTCCCTGGTAGTTGCATAGGGACCGTCCTCAGAGGGAAGAGCAGCCCCTTCCTTGTCCAGCCGCCCTGTCAGGGAGACTGAGGATGTGCTCTCCCACCACCCAGGCTGCCCCTGTGTGCCCAGGGGCTCCTTTCTGGCCCTCAGCCATTTGGGCTGTGCCCACCTGCTTCTCACTCCCCCCTCCTCTCTCTAGGCAAGCCGCACCAGCTCCCCTCCGAGCCCAGGGAGAAGCCCGCGGGCAGCATCGACTCCTACCTGAAGTCCGCCAACAGCTGGCTGGCAGAGAAGAAGGACATTGCCGAGCGGCTGCTGAAGAACACGGAGAACGTGAAGGGCTTCTTTGGGGGGCTGGAGACCAAGCTGAAGGGACCCCTGGTCAGGAAGAATGAGTGAGTGTCCTGCGTCGAGGCCTCGTGCCTGGGAGACAGAGGCAGGGCCCCTGTCCAGCCTTCGCCATCTCGGGTCCTGTACTGCTCCTGAGGAGCGCAGCGCTGCCCAGTGTGACTGTCCACTCTGCAGAGCTCAGGGATGTCCTGGCAGTGTACTTCAGGGACCAGGAGGAGCATGGGCAGCTGAGGGTTGGCCGCAGGGACACCACACACCTGTCCCTGCTTGCTCCTCCCCGGCAGTGAGTGGGGTTCACGGAACACAGGGCAGCCACGGGACTGGACAGAAACTCGAGGCCCTGGAGGACGGGAGGGGTGGTTGCAGGCGCCCAGGCTGAGACACACACAGGAAGGGCACGTCCCCACCAGGAGCCACCACCACAGAGGCCCCTGACTGCCCCCGGCTCGGTGCAGGTGGCATGGTCTCATCCCGCCGGGCCACACAGTTCAGGGCAGAGACCACAGCCCGGAGCCGCCTCCGCTCCACATTCCCAGGGCCCAGCCGCGGACGGGACCTTGATTCCATGAGTGTCTTTTCAGCAAACCGCTGAATGCCCACAGCCTCTCACCAATGGGAGTGGTTTGACTGTGATCTTTCTTCCTCAGGGAAGATGAGAACAAGCCCAAGGACAAGCAGCCCAAGACTGGTGAGTAGCGCCCCTGGAGCTGCTGGGGAGGCGGGGCCTGGAGGGGCGGGGCCCAGTGGGGGCGGGGCCCGGCGGGAGGCGGGGCCTGAGGGAGGAGGGGCCTTGGTGGAGAGGGGAGGGGCAGGGCCTAGAGGAGGGGACACTGGGGTGAGGCTTGGGGCCGGGTCCTGGGACAGGACTAAAGGGTTGGGGCCTGGACCGACCTTGTAACCCAGACCCCTGCAGGGGTCTGAACCCACCCACCGTTGAGGGGCAGCAGGAAGCAGCAGCAGTAAATCCCAGGGGCTTAACTGGGTCCCCCAGGAGCCGGCCTTAGGGTCCCTGCCTGGTCTATTTTCCTATGAATTTCTGAGGAAGGGCCACTTCTCTAAGGAGTAGGCAGAAACCAAAGTCCCTAACTCCAGGGACTCTAGCGCATTCCTGGGAGGGGTGGCCCCTGTGTGTTTCCATGGCCTTTTGGGGGAGGGGCTGTGGTGGCTGCTGACACCTGCCCAAGGCTCTGCCCTCAGCCTCTCTGGTCGTCCTGCAGTGACCGTGTTCAGCCCCGAGGACGAGCAGAAGGGGGAGAAGATCTACCTATACACACACCTGAAGCAGCAGCCCATCTGGTAAGGCGCCTGGCTGGAGGGCAGTGCCCCCTCTGATGGCCTCTGCGTGCTGGACTGTGGCTCAGGAGAGGGGGAGTGAGAGCTCACACACGCCAGACGCCGAGCGAGGGAGGGCCGCACTAGGCCGCAGACGGCCTCCCCGCGGTGTCCTCTCCTCTGGGCCCTGCCCCCTCCCCTCCCCACTAAGGGGGTGCAGAGCGCTGCGGGCCGGGGTTCCTTTATGGGCTGATGGAGGCAGGAGCCGCGATGGCTGAGCACGCGACGGGGGCTGTGGTGGACGTTTCGTGTCACCGTATTTTGTTCAGTGTGGCCAGGGCCAGGCTGCACCGGCCAGGCCGTGCTCTGTCCGCTGTAGAGGGCGAGTCCCACTCCACACTCGCACGAGTCCAGTCGGCCTGGCGTGGCTTCCTCGTGTCCCCACCAGGGTGGGCTGTGGTCTGCGGTGGGCAGTGTCCAGGTGGAAACCCTGAAGAGCTGGGCCCAGTGAAGGCCGCCAGGTCCAGGTGTCGCCTGTGGAAGGCTTGCGTAGCTCTCCCGGGACCAGGGTGGCCGCTCAGCCCCAGCTGCAGGCACGTTTCCCTCCCTGTCCTCTCTTACGCTCACGAGAGTGACCACAGTGCTGCTGGGACGCCAGCTGCTGGGACTTGAGCTGAGACCTCCCTGCCCAGGTGTTCTGTTCCAGGGCCACGCCCCGGTGGTCAGGGGATGAGGTCCTCCCGGGTAGTCGCTGGCACGGCCCTGAGCCCTCTGAGGTGCCCAGAGGCATGTCTTATCCTCTGGCTAGTGAGGTCCAAAACCTGGAGGTGTCAGACATGGGCCCTCCCTCAAAGGTCACTGTTGGGCTGCAGTAGAACTTCCCACACAGCCCTGTGAGGGGTGCGGAACCCAGGGCAGAGGCCTAGACAGGGACTTTGGGGGACACCCCCATCGGGCTGGACCTGAGCCCCCCCAGGCAGCAGAGCAGGGGAGAGGCTGGACCTGGCCAGGTGGCACCTTGACGGACGGGACTCTGCCGGGCCTGGGCCTTGCTGCTGTGTTGTCTGGACGGGGCAGATGCGTCCATGAGGGACCAGGTGGCAGATCTTTAGATTTCGTGGGCTGCGTGCTCTCCACCGCCACCACAGCCAGGCCCTGTAGCTCTGTCAGTGAGTAGCCGGGTGACCTTCATCCATAGAAAGAGGCGGGGCCTCCTGTGGCCAGGTGCCGCCTGTGCCGCCCTGTGCCGCCCTGTGCCATCTGTGCCGCCTGTGCCACCCCGACCTTCCCGGGAAGACGTCCCGTCCCCGTGCCTGCCTTGTGCAAGGCGCATCCCTGCTGATTCCCTTTTGTGTCGTGAGACCCTGTTCTGTGGAAGAGCTGGACCCCGTGTCCTCTTGGAGCCTCACCAGGAGGCAGAGAGGACACAGCAGCCTGAAGCTGCACCCCAGGTCCCCAGGCCACCTGACTTCACGCCCCACAGCAGCTCCGCGGGCCCCCCGGCCCATTCCGGCCTCCTCTCTCAGGAAGAGGCAGCATCAGGAGCCCCGGGGACCCCCAGCGCCCCCTTCTCAGCTCTGCCTCCCTCCCAGAGCTGCACAGGCACCGGGCGCCCAGCTTCCCCACCAGGTGGCAAGACGCTGGGTGGAACTGTCGGTGCCAACTGTGTCTCCCCGCAGGCACACGCTGAGGTTCTGGAACGCAGCCTTTTTTGACGCCGTCCACTGTGAGAGGAGAAAGCGCTCTCCCACCACCAGGTAGGAGCCAAGTGTGGTCCACTCTCCTGGGAAAGAGGACGGGGCAGCTCTAGTCGCATTTTCTGAAGAGGAGAGCAGAGGAGTGGCCGGGCTGCTGGCCTCTGTCCTCCCTGCCCGGCCTGTAGCCCGCCCACTGCCGGAGGCCCGTGCTCTGCTTCGAGGGGGATGCTCAGCCTGCATGAGTGCTTCTGTCCTGGGACCCTGGCATGACTGGCCCGAACCTCCCCGAAATGCACACGCCCTCGGAATGAGGCCTTCAGGACCCCCACCCACCCTGCTGCTCGCTCTGCGGGTCCGGACCCTGGGGACAAGCTGCGGTGACAGGGTCCCGGGTGGAGGGTGGCCACCACCCTGACTCTGGAAGAGCACCTTCTGCTGCCAGCTCACCCTGTGCTGACGGTGACCTGCCCCTCAGAGGGCCCGAGAAACACGAGGAAGTGCAGGGTGAAGGTCGGTGCTGACTCACCCCCAGGGACAGAGCCCCTGCTCCCCCTGGCTGGACACTGACTCCCCAGGGGACAGAGCCCCTGCTCCCCCTGGCTGGACACTGACTCCCCAGGGACAGAGCCCCTGCTCCCCCTTGCTAGAACAAGAGAAAGCTGCCGCCCACTGTGCAGCCCCCACACGGAGGGGCAGCGGTCCAGGGAGGACAGGCCAGGTCTGGTGCCCTGAGTGGCGCCCCAGTCGCATGGCTTCAGACTCTGGGTCTCTCGGAGCTCTGATCCCTTGTTAATGAAGCCAGTCCCCTCCTGTCACTGCGGGGGCCCACACCTCCCGGGAGGAGAGGAGCCAGAGGTGTCTGTGTGGAGACCAGTCAGTGGGCACTGAGCCCTCTGTGCAGGGACAGCTGACCCTGGCGGGGAGCAGGGTGCCGCCTCGGCCCTCGCAGTCCGTGGCTGCCTCCTGGGGGCAGAGGGAGCATGGGGGGGCCTGACCCTGACGCTGCCCGCGGGCACCAGGGAGCCTCTGCTCTGCTGAGGGGCTGAAGGAAAGGCCGACGCGCCCAGGGGTGGGCCTCGCCTGTAGCTTAGCTCTCTGCCAGGAAGTGGCCTGTCCCGGCGTCCTGTCCTCCTGCCCGCTGCCCACCCGCCAGCCCGCCTGTCCTCATGCACACATCTTGCACAACTGTGACATGTTCCTTTGTTCCTTTGTTTACCTGTTTCCGCTGCCACTCCAGAGGGGATGCTGGACAGCAGGAGAAGAGGTGTGTGTGTCCGCCTTACAGACCGGGGGCCGCGGAGGCCGCTGCAGGGCGGGAGGGCCCCTGGGGAGGCGAGCCAGGGCGAGGAGCGGCGGGCCTCAGGTGTCTGTGTGGAGACCAGCCGGTGGGCACTGAGCCCTCTGTGCAGGGACAGCTGACGCCGGAGGGGAGGAGGGCGCCGCCTCGGCCAGCCCTCGCAGTCGGTGGCCGCCTCCTGGGGGCAGAGGGAGCACGGGGGCCCTGACCCAGACTGTGCAGATGGCGGGGCCTGCAGGGCACAGCGCGGCTCAGGGAGGAAGAACAGTGACCGCAGAGAGCCCGCCCGGCTTGGAGGGGGCTCTGTCCACCTGTGCTGTCCACCTGGCCCGCCCAGGCCGACGGTGAGACCACAGCTGGGCCTCCCTCAGGGGGGAGGTGCCGGGGCCATGGGCCTGGGGACACTCGGCAGCACAGTGGCCTTTTTTCCAGCCCTGGGTGACGGGGAAGCTGTGTGGGTGGGAGGTCCCTTGGAAAAAAGCCAGGCGGGGCTGTCCCCAAGAGCTCCCGTGGCTGGAGCCTGAGTGGCCCGAGTTGGGAGCCCTGTGAGGTCTTCTTGGTGACAGAGACCTAGTTGCTGATTCAGTGTTGGTTTTGCGAGCTCGTGAGTTTGCTGGTGGCTGAGAAGTCCTGCTGCCACGCAGCCTCGGTGTGTCCTTGAGACGGGCACTTAGGCACCACAGAGGCCTCCGTGGCTGCCTCCTGGGGACAGAGGGAGCATGGGGGGGCCTGACCCTGATGCTGCCCGCGGGCAGTGGGGGTGGTGCCCCTGTCCTGTGGTCCCTCGGGGTGACGGCCTCCCGCTTGACAGGCTTCCTGGCATCACAGCCCAGGAAGGCTGGGCCCAGCCTGGCCTCCCTGAGAGCCGGTGCCGCTGCCCAGCCCTGCAGAGGCGCAGCCGGCCTCCTAGGCCTCCGGGGCCTCGGGCCTCCCCACAGATTCGACGTGCCCAGCCCTGGTGGGTTCCACTCCTCTGACCCACCCTGCGCCACCCAGGCCCCAGGTGCCCAGGCCAGCAACATGACCTCTCCTTCAGTGACCTCCACTGTCATTCCTGTCACCTCTGACCCCCTTTTCAGAGGGGCCTTCTGTGGGCGAGTGTGAGTCCATCCAGAGCCCACGGGCCGGAGTGCAGTGCGCAGGGCTGGCCTCCTGTGGGACCGAGATCAGCTCTCAGGAAGCAGCTGAGCCCCCAACTGCTAGTCGCCTTCCACCCCACCTGCGGGGCCAGGTCCACTCCGGGTTCTAGTCTCCCCACAGCAGGAGGGAGAACCACCTCCTCGTGGGTCCAGAGCAGCAGCATCTGGGCTGCTGTGCTGAACACTCAGGGGAGCCATTCCCCGGTGGCCTGGGGTGTGCAGTGCCCTCCCTGCACAACTGTACCTGATGGCCAGTGGTAGGGCAGGATTTGTGTGGCTGCCAGCCCTCAGGGGGACTATTAGAGGGAACTCGGTGGGGAGGAGTATAAGGTGGGACTCAGTGCGTCCTGGGGGTCTCTGGGCCCTGCCCTCAGAGGCTGGAGAAGTGCTGCAGCCCTGAAGCCTCGGGCTGAGGGGTGGAGAGGAGCGGAGCTGTGTCCTTCTGTCCGTCCATCCCTGGCCCTTGTTGTCCTGACTGTTCTCCGGGCGGTTTCTGCTCCTTCCTTTGCTCTTCCTCTCAGCGTCCAGTCCCCTTTTAGGGGGAAACGGGCTAAAATGAACTTGCCCACCTGCAGCGGCTCCTCTACCTGCTTCTCCGACCGCCGGGTGCCCGGGTGCAGGGTTTGACCAGGGGGCCGGGCAGGGAGGGGCGGCCCCAGTCCCCTGGGCAGAGGCTGGAAGGGAGGAGCAGTGACATGACCTGACCTCCGCTGCAGGGTGCAGGTGGGCCTTAACCGGGACCCTCGGGGTCCTGCCCTGGACCCCCTTCAGCTCAGTGCTCCCTCAGGGACGGGGCAGGCGATGCCCACACTCCGCCCTGCGCTGTGATCAGGACGAATTCCCTTCCTGGTGGGGTCCTTCCTGGTGGCCTGCAGCTGCCAGGAGGCCAGAGCTGCCTCTCCTCTTGGGTCTCCACCTGGAGGCAGCCTTCCCACCCGGGAGGACTCCGGGAGGCCGCGTCCCTCCTGCGTCTCCGAGGCCACAGAGCCTCTTGGTTGTAGGCGGAGTGACATCAGGGGGCTGGGTGGGTCCTCGGCACCTTGTCACAGGGTGGGCTTCTCCTAGAAGCCACTCCTCAAGGACAGGCCTCCAGCCAGGAAGGCAGAGCCTGGGCCACCAGCACCACCGGGCGGACGGGGGGCGGCAGATGGCTGTGTGAAGCCCTCCTGTCCCCGCAGGGAGAGGTGGTGCCACATGACGCAGGAGGAGCGGGACGACAGCCTGCGGTTCCACGAGAACATCACCTTCGGGCAGCTGGGGTAAGAGCGGCGGGCAGCCCCGACCGGCAGCCATGGCCTCCGCACTCAGGGAGGAGGACTGAGCCCCGCTGGCCTCCCTCCCGCTCTGAGTCCCCTCCGGGCACCGCGTGGGCAGCTCCCAGTGCTGGTGGCTCCCGAGGTACCCGTGCTCTGCCTCTGGCTGGCCACCCAGGCGGGCCCCACGCGGGACCTCCGGCCCAGGGGGCGTCTCAGGTCCCTCCCGCAGCAGGAGCGGAAGGTGACGGCCGTGTTCCCTTCTAGCACCTTCACGCACAACATGCTGGCCTTCGGGCTGAGCAAGACGCTGTGCCGCGAGTTTCTGAAGAAGCAGGCAGTGATCGGCCACCTGGACGAGGGTGAGCCCGGCCCGGCCACCGCCCGGGCACCTGGGGGCGGGGAACCCGGGCGGGTTCGGGTGGCTCCTCTTCTCTCCCAGGCCATGCAGACAGGAAGTCCCCGTGTCTGGAGACGGAGCAGCAGGGTGGGCAGGGGCCTCCTGCTCCCCCGCACAGCGAGGGTTGGGGGTGAACCTGCGCTTGGCGCTCTGAGCCTGATCAAACCCAGCCACCGGTGCCACCTGATGGCCCCCTGTGGTTCTTGAACCCCCACCCCTCAGAGCCGTGCAGGGTGGTCACAGCCCTGTTGCAGCAGGGGCAGGGGCACTCTGTCTTCTGGGGTCCCCAGGACATAGGCCACCCCATTCCTAGGCCCACTTGAAACTCGTGCCCGCAGCGTGCTGGTGCCGAGCTGTTCACCAAGCACCCTGTGGCACAGCCCTACCTGGAGGGTGGCAGAGGGCCCACAGTGGCCTGGAGGGTGCCCGTGGCCAGGCCTGGGGGGAGCTGTGGGGCGCCTGTCCTGGCCACCCCCTCTCTTCATGGTGACATCGTCTTCTCTTCCAGAGCAATACAAGCTGCTCAGTGACCACATTGAGCAGATGGCCACTGAATAGGAGACGGAGGGCCTGTGCTAATGTCCAGGGCAGCCACTGGCTGTCCCCACCTCTGACCCTGCATGACACCAGCGGCACCCAGGGCTGCGCCGCGCAGCCCTGGAACTAGCGGTTAGAAGAACCCGGCTGCCGTCCTCCCCTCCCTGCTGCCTGCGTCTGCCCCATCCATGTGCCAGAGTGTCCCTTGGGTCACATGGCTACCACGAGGGACCTCTGCACCCTCAGTGCTAGGCTGTGAGTGGAGAGGGCGAAGGAGCCGCCTCTGCGCCCTGCTGAGGGCCAGAGGGGCAGGCTGGGCTCGGAGGTGGACAAGTGTGTGGGCACCTGCAGGGCCGCGAGTGAAGGGTGGGCACCGTGGCTGTGGGACAGTCCTGGAGGCCACCAGGGCAGGGTGGCTGGCCTCCCTGTGCAGTGGACTCTGCTCGCTCTCTGTCCCCTCTGTGATGGGAACAGGAGTCACAGGAACTATTTGAGAGAAGGAGAAAGAGACACTCGGGTAGGGGACACTCCTGCCATCCCAGGTCACCCAGGGGTCTCAGCCTCCCAAACGCAGGGCCGCTGAGCTTCCTTCTAGAACTGAGGACGTCCCCAGTGCCCAGGAGCTGCGCCATGGTCTATCCCGTGAGAGGAGCATGGGCAAGAGGAGCCTCACAGCAGCTGGGCAGTGGCGTCCTTCCCGGAGGGACGGCCCCATGCTCGTGTCATTGAAGGCAGGGACATTGAAGACTCATGTCATTGAAGCAGCTCCAGCGAGGCTGCGGGCAGTGGGCAGCGTGGACTCTCAGCTCCGAGCTCTGAGCGCAGGCCTCCACCCCACAGCCTCCTCCGGGAGCCGTGGGGACCTCTGCAGCCCAGCCTGGGCCTCCGCGTGGCTCTCCCTCCTGCCCTTCGACGCCCTTCAGCCACAGCCAGGACCTGGGCTTCCTCTGCATGTGCCAGGCCACCTGTGGGGACGGAGTGCAAGCCCCAGCGCCCGGCGTGCTGGCCCAGGCCAGCCCTTCCCCGTGTGGACAGCAGCTGGGTTCCCTCTGCCTCTGGCCGCTGCTGTTCTGGCCGCTGACCTTGACGCCAGCCGTGGGCTCCTCCTGGGCCCTCTTCCCTCATCCCCCTCAGTGCACAGACTGAGCCACGGGCTCCCCCACGAGCACCACTGACCCAGTCTGCTGGTCACCCCTCAGGGCCCAGGAGCCTCCCTGCAGGAGCTCCTTCCCCAGCGTCCCGAGCAGACCCTGAGGCTAGAGCTGATGTGCACATGTCCTGATGTTGGGTGACGATGGCGGGTGGCCCCACGTGCTCTCTGGCGAAGGCTGCCTGCAGGAGGCGGGGGGCCTGGATGCATGCAAACCCCGACTACCCAGCGATGCCACCAGACAGGGTGGGCTGCGGCCACTGTCTGGACGGTGCAGGCTGGTCCCAGCCACCGCGCGTCTCCACAGACTGGAAGACAGAGTCGAGCTGGTGAGGGTGCAAAGGGACTCTGCCCCGCAGCTACCGGGGAAGCTTCTCTTCTTAGTGTCCCCTCCTGGCTCCAGTGCCAGCCTCCTGTGACGTGCCCTCCCGACGGCCCTCAGTCGCCTGCCGTCGCCAAGCTGCCCTGGAGGAGCCGGCCCCGCCAGGCCCACAGGGTGACGTGGAGGTCTCTCCCGTGATGTCACCAGTGTCACTGAACTGCGTGGGCTTCACGGCATCCACGACACCCACCTGTGTGTGGAGAAGGCCAGCCACTCTGACCCTGCGGGCTTCAGAAGCACCTTGAGACCGGCCCCCGTGGGCCCTGGAGCGGCCGCTCGAGGAGGGACATGGACGTGCGACCTCCCTTGATCCTGGTTCTCGCAGACCCGGCTCAGAGCCGGGGTAAGTCTGACTCCGAGGAGCGTCACCCGCTGGGCGTGGCCCTCACAGCACAGCTGGAACAGAGCTGGCCGCTGGGGACGTGGCGGCCCAGTCCCTCAGGGTCTCCCCACTGTCCCCTGCCGACAGCTGGCTTTGGTGAGCAGTTCACTTTCAGGTATCCCTGGCCAGTGTCTCCAGGAGGCCGGTCAGTGTGACCGGAAGGCCTCAGCTGGCCCCCTGAGGTGTCCTGTCCTCCCCTGAGCCTCCTCCCCAGGGCCTGGCCACATGTAATGACTTGGGCGTGACTCTGACACCCTGCTGGGCACCAGGCACTGCAGATGGGCACAGGGGGTGCCTCCTGCTTCCGACGAGGAGCTTCCAGCCCCAGCAGGCCGCGCGCGGGCAGCTGGAGCTTCCAGGGCTGTCGTCAGATTTCCTGCCGCCTGCCTGACCTCCAGGCCACGTGGCTCCTGCTGAGGCAAACAGTGCGAGCAGGACAGTGGGCGACGGGCCAGCACGTCCCTGCCGTGAGGCCGTGCCCGTGTCCAGGAGGGCCGTGCTCAGTCCAGCTTGCAGTCGGCTGTCTGTCGGGGCGGGGGCCTTCGGCTGAGAGCTCAGGACCACGAGAGGACCAGGAGAAGGGCCAGTCTCCATCTGTACATCAGCACCCGATGCTCACGTCCGTCCACAGAACACGGGGCCTAGAACCAGGCCACAGCGGAGACCCGAGGCCTGTTCAGAGCCAGAGCCACGTCTGCCCAGTGTCCTCCCTGCCCTGAGTGGAGGCAGGGCTGGTGCTACAGCCGCCCGCAGGGCAGAGGGTCTCACGGGGCAGAGGGGCTCGCGGGGTAGAGGGCTGCAGCTGTGAGGCCTGCTCTGTGGCTGCTCTGTGGACACCTGCCACCCAGGAGCACTGGCTGTCCCACCGTGAAGGAGAGTGAAAGATTCCAGCCTGGCGGGCCCTGGAGCTGCCCGCCGACCCTCTCGGTCACGCTGACCGTGGCTCTTGAGTCCTCAGGGGTCCAGGCAGGCCCGATGGCCTCACCAGCTCTACACCTGTCACCTGGAATGCTCACGTGGGACACCAGGGAGTCCAGGGCTTTGCCAGGCACCGCGGGCATAGGGGCAGGGTATTTCAAAGCTGGAGAGCCCCTTGTTGTGGGAGAGGGAAGGGACTCTCGGGTGGCAGTGGCCCAGCCTCGGGAGGTCTCTGCAGGCCCCTCCGGCTCCTGGCTCCCCTCGCTCCTCTGCACCCCGCCCAGCTGCCTCCTGCACGTCCTCCAAGCCAGTCACCACGGGCAGGTCCTCGGGCTCCGTTTCCTTGAAGAGCTTTGGGTTAGGGGAACCGCACTGGCCGGACGTGCCTGGCGGACTGGTGGCAGTGTTCAAGTGTCCACACCGCCCGGCCAGCCTGTCTGTCCTCCCCCTCACCCACTCCCGGGCCTGAACAGGAGGGCGTTGGCGGTCAGGGAGCAGAGGGAGGAGCGCTGCAGGTGGTCCGCACGGCAGGCCCACCCCACCAGGACCGTCCCGCACGGGCTCTGGAGAGGCTTCCTTCTGAGCTCTGTCCCACTTACACCTCTTGGCCTGTGTGTCTGGTGTCCCTGGGGAGGATGGGTCGCCGGACCTTCGTGGGGCCAGCCTGCCCACCGCCAGTGACCAGGCCGTCCTCAGTTCAGCTTACTCAGTGTCCCTGGCCTGGGCGGGGCTCTGACAGTGTGGGCACCCAGCCCCCCCCCCCCGCAGGGGACAGTGAAGCTCTGGGCACCCTCGGGGCAGAGTCCAGCCTACTTGCTGGGGACTGTCCCTTCCAGCGTCAGTGGACAACCTGAGAAGGTTGGGTCGAACATTCCACCAGCAGGAAGCACGTGTCCCCTTACGACAGCGAGGGTCGGGATCCGGCTGACCACAGCCTGACTGCGCCCTGTGCTGCTGCTGGAACCCTGTGCCCTCATCCCCTTCTGAGTCTGTCCTGGGCCCCATTCTGGCCTCTAACCATCTCCTTTGTGGCGACCCCATGACGCCAGTGTTTTCTGTGTTAAGTGGCCTCGTGTCCCACAGGTGATGTCCTAGGAGTATATTTTAAGGTTGAGAAAATTTCAAGGTTGAAGATCTCAAAGCAGCTGAAATCGCAGGTGTTCCCTGGGGAGGAGGAAACGTCTGTGTCACACCTCGGACTGTCGGAGGTGAAACGGGAATAAATTATCTTTTTAAAAACGGTGTGATCACGTCTGCGAGCCTGCCCACGAGGACTTTTGGCTGCATTTGCAGTCTTCGCAGTCACGTCAGAGGCCTGGGGCGTAGCTCAGAGGAGGAACACTGGCCTAGCGTGACCTGGACCCTGGCCTCTATCCCTAGCACCAGAAAGGGGGGGGGCAGTTAAGGGTCAGGTGGGTGGCTCCGCAGGAGAAACCGACTTCTCCCCAAGGCTGCGCCCTGGGGTGAGAAGGCCAAGGGCCTGGAAGAGGAGCAGCCCTGCCCATGGATGGCGTGGCCACTTGGGGTCAGTGATAGAGAATGAAGGTCTGCTCCTGGGCTGGAACCCGGCTGGGCCACGGTATGGCCTCCCATGGAGGGGATCCTAATCCCGAGTCCTCGAATCCCGTCCAACTGTCTCACCTTTGGGGCGGCAGGCTCCATGGCCCGGCACCCACCTAACCCGAGCCCACCTGCCCAGCTGGGCTGCCTGGCTTCCATGGGCAGCCCCTGGTAGCGGCTCCAGTGCTCTGGCCTGGCAGGGGCCCGAGAGGGAGCACAGCAGGCTGCAGGGACCCCCAGGCCAGCAGCTGGGATGGGAACCACTCCCCTTGGTGGCTGTGGAGGGCAGGACCCCCAAGTGGACTGGGCACACTCCCTGCCACTTGGGGGTGCTGCCCCTCTCAGCCAGTGTGCAGGGAGGGCCTGGCCAGTGGGGCTGCAGGCCTGGGGTGCCCTGGACCTTTCCCTGTGCCTGGGGGATCCCACCGTCGCAGGGGCAGCCCTGGCTCAGGGGCCAGCTCCAGGGAAAGGCGGCTCCTCTTAGGGCCAGGGCACGGGCAGGGCTGACCGACGGGGAGAGGCCGTGTGTTTCCACCTCCCCAGCAGACCCCGCGCCTCAGCCAGACCTTCGGGGAGCCTGGTGTCTCCACTGCACCCAGGGCAGGGCGGGAGAACGTCACCCCCGGGCCCCGTCCTGTGCGAATACGAGGAGCTCGACCAAGGGCAGAGCTGAGCTGCTCACCGCCCACCCGCCTCCGTGCGGAAGTGGACCCCGAGGGGCTCCGCGGCCAGTGTCCTGCTAAGGAAGGAAAGGGACCCACTTCCCGTCTTGTTTTATGGGAACACATTTATTATTCAAAATTCACAAAACTAAACAAAGAGAACGCGCTCCAGCTTCCAAAGCTGCTTCTCTGCTAGGCCGGGGCATGGCCGCTGCCAGCCCCCTGCGCGGTGTCCCCAGGGCTCCCCCCGGGCCTGCTCTTCAGGCAGCGCTGGCTCAGGCCACAAGCAGCTGGCCCCCGGGGGGCACCTCTTCTCTGCCAAAGTGGGGACAAGCACTCTGTTCAGTCCCCTGATTTCATGGGAGGGGACGACAGGGCTTTGTTCCTCCTGTAGGTAGAAACCTGCACAAGTGGCCTTGGGGACGGGGGGGGGGGGGGGGGGGGGGGGGGGGGGGGGGGGGGCGGG